TTATTATTATTATTATTATTATTATTATTATTATTATTATTATTATTATTATTATTACTCATAATTTATCCATACATGTTCATTAATAATCTCCATCTGCAAATGAAAGCCTCCGGGTCATTTTAATTTATTTTTAAAGCTTTTCAGCCTCGCGAGCTGAAAAAGACGGCACACGCTGGACCGAGACCTGTGGAACTTCATCACTGCCGAGGACTATAAACGATGAATCATTATTTTTCTCTTTTTATCCCAGCCTTTAGATATAGTCGTAGACTTTTCTCTGAGTAGAGAGTTATGAACCAGCATCCATATATTCGCCATCAAGACCCAAGACCTATTTTACCTACCGTACTTTATTATATAGTTTGTAGACGACTACGTCAGCTAAATTTTTAGCATACACCGTAATCCGGATTTGCTGATATTACCATACAGATGTCACACCTTTATTATCTACCTTTACTTATATTAAAGAGTTATGCGCACTTAGGCATTTTTAAATAATATTATTTTTTTGTAATGTACATATATTTTGTGTACGTACACAGAAAATTTGATGAGAATTAGATAAAAACAATTTTTCTTAAGTAAGTTCTCTGTTTCACCGCTAGATGGCTTATGGCTCTCGCTTCCAGAAAAATCTTACCAGAGTATATATCAGGGCAATGCAAAAAAAACCGACTCTTTGTTTTTTTTTGAGTTTACTAAGAAAATATGTTAGTTTATGAAGTTTCACTTGCCCTCGACAAAAATCAGATCGATAAAAAATTGTTTTATAACTCGCTCAAGATTTTTTAAACTTTCACAGTAGAGTACTTAAATCTTTTCTTTTAACTCGTCAATATCATAATCAACGAACTTTAAATTTTGTTTCTATCAAGTTGACACACTGAACAATATAAATAAACCTCCAAAGAAATAATTAAAAGTCTGGCAAAATAATAATTACTACGGCATTGTTAATTTAAAAATATTTATCCGGCATCTGAAGAATTTTTAACCTTTTAACGAGGTTCGAGCGTAACTTATGAGTCAAAATAGTCTTAAAATTTTTTTTTACCTCTAGTCTTCTCAATATTCGTCAAAATTATTTATTTTAATTTAAAATAATTTGAACAATTTAATAATTGATGATTTTTACTTATTTAATAAAACAAAGCAATAAAATGACTTTCTTATTTATTACTTGCCGGATTAAATAAACAGATTTGACTACAGCGCGTTTGATTATACTCATTACAGAGACGTGTATGAGTGTGTATTTCTCTCTCTGTAACTATATTTCTATCTTTTTCTTTTTTCTCAGCAGTTAACGCGACGTTTCCAAATCTTTATTCGAATAAATAGCTGACGATAAACGATTCAAAAACATAAAATTAAACTTTAAATATTTCAAAAATTATATTGGTAATGTATTATTTTTAATTTTTTTTATATTTTACAATAGTCCAAGTTTCTTGTACATAGTTTTTTATTCGTTAAAGTTGGAAGGTTAATATTGAGAAAAACAATTAAAGTCTCGACTAAAATTTGATCACCATAAGAGCCTGTGTATAAGGATCCTTCCTTAATCTGGAGATAAAAAATGTGATTTTTAAAATTTAATATCTAAGTAACTAAACGGTAAATCTCTTTAAAATTTTGGGATTAGATGAATGAAGTATTTATTTATACGTGTACTTAATTTCAAAGCTCAAAGTTGGAAATTATTTTTCACATTAGGTTCGCTCGAACTTCCTTAAATAATTATTTAATAGACTATCTGTTAATAGACTGACGAGATAAAATATTAGATGGAAAAATTCTTACCTTAATAATTATTGTCAAGGATTTTAAAATATATTTTCATGGAAAACTCGATAAATCAAATAAGAGTTTTTTTAGAGATACCCTTTTTTAATTAAACAAAATGCCTTCAGAAAAATAAATTGCAAAATTACTTTTTTTAATTTTAAGTGCGTATAACTTCTCAAAAACTTATTACTAATAAAAATTTTTCTACTAATTTATTTCAATAATTAAATTAAATTATATTAAAAATAAAAACTAGATCCGGAATCTCGGCGAAGGTGGAAATACTTGTTTGGATTCACCAGCTCGTAAGTCCGATTTACACAAACCAGTGGGTTTGTATCCTTGCCATCGACAAGGAGGCAACCAGGTACAATATTGCCAAATAATCCAACCAATAATAATTATTTTTTTTATGCATTGTTTCAGGAAAAAACAATTTTTTGTTTGTATCATCATTTAAAACTAACTCCCGTGACTTCATTTTTGTGATTAATACAGATAATAATTTAAGGGCTGACTAATTAAAAATTATAATAATATACTAGAATATTAAGTAAAGACAGTTATCAGTTGATTGTAAAATTTTGACGAACTTGTACTTGAATTGCTATTGTACTTTACTGGATAAATTTAAATGCAGATAAGAAACCTCGATAAAGAGGTGTGTATAGACTCGTCAGGAAAACCCGAAGACCTTCACCAACCGGTAGGACTCTGGCCTTGTCACCGTCAAGGCGGTAACCAGGTACCCCATAATTACAGTAGCAATCTGCACGGAAGCTACTTAAATAATCAATTATCAATTTTTATTAAATTCAAGGGGTATAAGGACTTAACATTTTTACTCAAAAATTTATAAAATTATTTCAGAATATTTTTTTATTATAAAATTTTGTGACTTGGTTCCAAATTTTTATTGTAATTTGTTATGAATAGGAAAAAATAAATATTTATTAACAGTTAATAAATACTTATCAACTTTTAAGGAATATTTTTTAATTGTTAATAAATTTACTTATATTGAAAAAAAAAAAAATCTAATTAATAGTTAAAAAATATTAAGTTATATTTAATAGATAAATTGTTTTTAAATGAATAAATTTATTACAGTTAAATTATTTAAAATTTAATTAGTGTCTTGAGAAATAAATTTTATAGTATAAAATAAAAAAAAAAACTTCATCAAAAGTTAGTTTAGAAAGTCTCCGCTAGGTAGCTACAATTCTCACAGTTAGAATTCTGAAATTTGGGTATCTAACTGCACTAAAAAATTTTCAGAGGTCCAGGGTTCAAATCTCAGGCAAAGTAGTTTTTTTTTTTTTTTTTTTTTTAAATAATGCACTTGTAGAAAGATTTTTCAATATTTGATAAACTTTATTAACTATTAATAATTTTTTTTTTAATTAAACGATTTTTCTAAATATTTTTTAACATTTAAAAAATTCTTCTATAAATATTTAAAATAGTTTATATTAAATTTTATTTTTATTCATTAATTTTCCTAAATGAAATTCTGAATTGATTCAAATATATCAAAAATAAAATCTTCTAAATAAGTTTGTAATTTTAAAAAAAATACGAACCAAGTCACAAAATTTGAATTAATATTTTCTACCCTATCTGTAATGAAACTTCCACTGCCCGACTGTAACTAAATCCCCTAAAAACAATAATTAATATTAACTTAATATTTACAAATTTTTAGATACAGAACAGGACTAACGTTTAGAACCTTCAATATAATAATAATAAATATATAAAAATCAGGTTGGCCGGGAGTTGGTTTTAAAAAAAGCTACCGCATGCATCATCGCAACTAATGCTTTTAACTTTTAGTTCGTATTTATTATATATATATTTTTTTTTATTAAACACTGCTTCATTGTAATATAATTATTACAATCATTTTATATTTGCCTAACATTAATAAGTATAAATAAAACGTGACACGTTGGATCACGTAAATCTTCGTCTTGAGCCCGTAATCACCGTTAGCTCTAATCAGCCTCGAGTCATCATCAATTCCTAAGTGTCGAGAAACACGAACGTACAATATACAATCTTATGTGTTTATTCGTGGTGTTAAATCTACAATCAATATTTTTATAATAATAATAATAATAGAAATTTGAATTTCATAAGCTTGTCGGCCTTAAAATTTCCTTTGAAATGAATTCTCATATGTCTAGGGCGCCTGGAAAATATTTTACCGCAAAAATCCGCGAAAAACCGCGTAATTTATAAAATAAAATTTTTTGTTTAATTATGTATATTTTTTATTATTATAAAGTCGACAAAAAATAATTTCAGATAAATTTGTACTAAAAATAAAAATAATAATATCTAAAAAAAAAATAGTACTAAATTTAAAAGTTGATATTTCTACGAATCGGTAAATTTTCTTTTTTCAAAATTCTTGGTCAACGATTAAAGATACTGATAAACTGATAAGGACTTTACTTGTAAAAAATTTAATCCTCTATAAAAAAAGTCTCTTATAATTATTTTTTATTTTCAATATTTTAGTCACACAAGCACTTAAAACTTTTGAAATCTACAAACAACTTCTATAACTTCATTTTTAAATTTAAAATTCAAATTTTGAAGAAAGTAAAAGAGATAGGACAAAATTAAAATAAAAAATAAAATTAAATTTTCTATCAAAAAAATCTGATTCTTACGGATTTTCCATATTTGACCCAAAATTCTGAATTATAGTTTGAACATCCAAAACTTTGATAAATAAACAAGTTTTTTTATTTATTATAAATAATTTTGCAAAAAATAATAATAAAATACTCGTATTTATAAAATTTATCTTAAAAAAAAAATCAGTACTCATCCTTACAATTAATCGCCGGCTTAACTTACCATTACCACCCGTTGAGTAACACTTAATTACAAGTTATCTTAACACCTATTTATATATTTAATATACGTGACTATTATCATATTTATTTAACCTTATAATTGTATAATCGTGCTAAAAGCTTGGCATGATGCATGCTTTATCATTTTTTATTTATCTCAATTATTAATTAATTAATGAATAAACTCTGGCATAAAATATTCAATAAATGTTTTTATTGTGAGAAAATTGATTTTTCAAATCAATTATCAAGATAGAACTGTCATATTAAATCCGACTGACGCTACGAAAATTTGATTAATCTTCATTAACAGAACGCAATTATTGATGTCTGATGCGCGCGCGGTGATCATTAATTTTCAACAAAGTTTTAATTGCTGATAATTTTGCGGATAATTCAATCTTTAGTTCGCTAGAAATCTATCAATCATTCATTAATTTTCCTTTTTTTTTTTTTTAAGCTAAATTTATTGGTATTTTATGCACAAAAGAGATGTCAGAAATAATTTAATTAATTTAGACTTAATTATTGATTTTTATTTTTAAATAAAAAATTTTTTATTAATTTTTAATGCAAAATATTTATATTAAAAAATTTTCTACTGAATTTAAATTGAAGTTAAAATCTAAAAAATTTTTCATCATTGTAAAAAATAATTACAAGTCTAAATTAATTAAAAAAAAATGCTTTTATAATAATTATAAATTAATATTAATAAATATTAACAAATTAAATTTTTTTAAAAGTACTGGATGCTGAGTAAAATTGGAGAAATCCGTCGAGATGAGTCATGCCTGGATTACAGCGGTACTGATGTCATCTTATATCCTTGTCACGGAAGCAAAGGAAACCAACAATGGATTTATAACTCTCAGGTATTTTATTAATGCTATTCATAATATTTAATTAGCTTCTTACTCCCACTTAATTAAAAGATTAAAGTAAAAACATAACTTATAATCTCATTACTCATGACAATATTATTGTTAGAGTATGCTTTGACTGCTGTCTCAAGTACTTATCCTCAAAACTCGTCCGTGTAATTAATAATTAATATTATAAAATCTAAAAAATTTAATTAAAGGCTCATAAGAATATTTCATTTTTAAACGAAAGAAATATGATACGGAAGCAGTGACAGATCTATGTCAATTCCTTCCTTTTCGAAATTCAGAGTGCTTTTTCTCCAAAACCATCAAAGATTTATCGAAATTTTTTGTCGTTCAATTTTACTCACGCCCTCAATAAACTTTTGGCTCAAAAATTTCTCTCCTAGTTCCTTTAAAACCCTCAATAAACTCTCAAACAAAAAAATAAATCTACTATTAATTCTTGAAAATTCCCTCTTTTTGAAAATTCAAAGAGCTTCTTCTCATAAACCATCAAAGATATTCCAAAATTTTTTTCTTCTCACCTTACACCCTCTCTTAACTTTTTACTCAAAAATTTCCCTCCTAGTTCCTTTAGATTTCTCAATAAACCCTTAAACAAAAAAATAAAAATTCTACCATCAACTCTTGAAAATTCCCTCTTTTTGAAAATTTAAAGAGCTTTTTCTGAAAAACTATCGAAGATTTTCTAAAATTTTTTTCTTCTCGACTTACCTCACACCCTCTCTTAACTTTTGGCTCAAAAATTTCCCTCCTAATTCCTTTAGAATCCTCAATAAACTCTCAAACAAAAAAATTAAATCTACCATTAATTCTTAAAAATTCCCCCTTTTTGAAAATTCAAAGAGCTTCTTCTCATAAACCATCAAAGATTTTCCAAAATTTTTTTCTTCTCAACTTACCTCACACCCTCTTTTAACTTTTCGCTCAAAAATTTCCCTCCTAGTTCTTTTAGATTCCTCGATAAACCCTCAAACAAAAAAAAAATGAACCTACCATTAATTCTTAAAAATTCTCTTTTTTTGAAAGTTTAAAGAGCTTTTTCTGAAAAACTATCAAAGATTTTCCAAATTTTTTTTCTTCTCACTTTTCCTCACACTCTCTCTTAACTTTTCGCTCAAAAATTTTCCTCTTAGCTCCTCTAAATTTCTTAATAAAAAATTATATTAACCAAATTTGCCTCAACTTATAATTAAACAAATAAATTGTAATTTCTAACAACAATATTTTATTTTCAGACGAAACAAATAAGACACGGAAGCAGTGACAAATGTATGTCAATAACAGAAAGCAAACAACGACTTCTAATGGAAGAATGTTCACCTAGCGCGCCTCGGCAAAGATGGTCTCTAGAAAACTACAATCCATCAAAACTGTGATATCGATTGTCTCGCCGTAGATCTTCATTATTATCATCATCCTCCATAATATCATCTTCACTGTCAAATTACAAGTCCAACGGGATTAAATCAAGAATATATCAACGCTACGCTGCCGTTAAATATCTCGTCAATTAATTAATACCTACTAATTAATTATAATTAATGAATAATAATAACTCCATAAAATCAATTAAATCGACGTGAATAGACTTTTTTTCGAGATTTATTTTTAATGCGCGAAACTTAACGCACACATGAAAGTTTGTAAATATTCCAATTTATATTAATAATTATAATGATTATTACTATTATTGTAATAATAAGAGATAAGATATTAATTTAAAGATTTATAATTATAATTGTAATTGATAATTTGAAAGGTAGATTGCATTAAACAATGCATTAATTAGACAAATGAACTGTCGACTGCGTGGATATTTTTACGGTACCTCGTACTTGGCGCAAGACACTGCCGTATCTCTGGGTTGTTACCGTAAGCGCGGGAAATTAAATGGCATTCGACGTTTCGTTTATCTCAGACCTTTCAAATTATCAAGTGAATATTAATATTGAATATTGATTGTTAAAAGGTTAACAATTATATGTATTAAGATTTTTTATTGTATTAAGAGTAACGGAGCATTCCATTGTACATTCGTATATATTACATTTAATGCCAGTTTGGTTAGTTTCGACGTACGGTTTGATTAAAGGTTGAAGGTTTAATGTTCCGAGGGTTTAATAATCAAAATAATTGTAAAAATTTGGAAATGAGATTAATTGGATTGGTGAGGGTTAAAGTTTGGATTACGTCGAGTACTGAAGTTTGAATATCATTAGAAATATTAATAGGGGTGATAAGAAAAAATTTTGTTTTCTTAAGAAGAATTTTTTTATTTAACTACTTATGATTTTTATTCCATGATTTATAGTATTTAATTAATAATCTATAACTCATGATGGATAATTTTAAATTAATGATCTATGATTTCTAAATCATGATTAATGATCTATGATCTAAGATGAATGATTTATGTTAATGATCTATGATCTTTAATTAATGATCTTTCATAAATAATTAATGATCTACGGTATTTTATTGATGATTAATGATCTATGATCTATGATGAATAATTTTTAATTGATGATTTATGTTAATGATCTATGATCTATTATTTACGATCGTTAATCAACAATTTATCGTTAATGATTTTTGGTCTTTAATCAGTAATTAATGATCTATGATTTTTGATTAATGATTAATGATCTATGATCTATGATCTATAATTTCTAATCATTAATCAATAATTTCTAATTCATGATCTTTATCTAATCATTTATGATCTATGATCTTTAGTAAATTATTAATGATCTATAATCTATGATCTTTAATTCATAATTGATGGTCTAAGATCTATAGTTCATTATCATTAATCGATGATTTTTAATTTACGATCTATAATGAATGATTTTTAATCAATGATCTATTATTTATTATTCTTAATTAATGATTTATGATCTTTAACTAATCATTCATGATCTATGATCTATAATGAATGATTTTGAATCAATGATCCATAATTTATTATCCTTAATCAATGATTTCTAATGAATGATTTATGATCTTTAACTAATCATTCATGATCTAGGATCTTTAGTAAATTATTAATGATCTATAATCTATGATCTTTAATTTATGATTAATGATCTAAGATCTATAGTTCATTATTATTAATCGATGATTTTTAATTTATGATTTATAATGAATGATTTTTAATCAATGATCTATACTTTATTAACCTTAATCCATGATTTCTAATTAAATGATTTATGATCTTTAGTAAATTATTGATGATCTATAATCTATGATCTTTAATTCATGATTAATGATCTAAGATCTATAGTTTATTATCGTTAATCGATGATTTTTGATTAATGATCTATGATCTATAGTGAATAATTTTCGATAAATGATCTATAATTTATTATATTTAATCAATGATTTCTAATTAATGATTTATGATTTGTAACTACTGATTAATGATTTATAATTTTCAAAAAACGATTAATGATCTTTAATCGATGATTAAAAGTATTGAAAAAAAAATTCATTTTATAATAATTTTAAATAAAACTTTTTCGTTATTTTAAAATTTTTAAATCAATCATTGATAAAGAGTAATAAAAATTAACAAATTTATTTTGCAAATTTTTATTTTTAAAAACTACAAATTTTTTCTTATTATCGAAAATTTGATTGCATCGAATTACTAAAAATAATTATATGAAAAAAAAAAATTATATATAACGCCCGAATTAATGACTTCTCGTGTGCCAATAGTGTAAAAATTGATGCAATCGTAGCATTTAATTTTTACGTAATGTAAATTTATGAAACTATTGGGTATAAATAAATAATTATAATAATAAGTATAAGTATAAATATAAAAAAAATTCTTTGAATATAAATATATATAAATATATAAAAAAAAACATTAATCGAGTGAGTGGATTAGGACAAGCTAGAATTTATAAGATATCAAGAAAATTATTTTATTGAATTTAAATATTCATTGAAATCGAACAAATTTTTTTTGTATTATTTTGTTAAAATTTTTTAATTTAAAAATTTCAAGTATTAAAAATGAGCAATTAATTATTTTTATTTTGATGTATTAAATTTGAATTTTTTATTAGTTAATGTGATAAAAAAAAAAGAAATATTAATATCATTATTAACTATTAATTTAATTGATGAGTATATGAACAAAAATAGAGAACAAGTATTTAAAATTTAGTTTATTAAATAAAGTATAAATAAAGAATTCTATATATAAATATAAATATAAATATAAATATATTAAATAATCTTTGATGTATATAAACACAGTAAATATACATATATGGCATTTTATACATTTGGTGAAGCATATCTGTAAGATTTAAAATAATGTTTAAAATGTGAGCATTAAAATGTGTAAGCTTTAATTAATCAACGCACTAATGAATTAATTAATTAAAAGTTATTAGTGAAGTTTAATAAATTAGTGGGTTGATTAATTAAAAAGAATGCGATAAATTATATCAAATGTGCCTTATTTTATGTATATGTGAATATTATTATCATAAATAATTATCATACTTATAAATTTACATGATATGCGAGCATTTATGTTGAATAAATAAATTGATGTTGTTTTATGTTAAATCATTATATTAATTGACCTTATTCATTTTTATTATTTATTAAAAATTTCTCAATTTTTTTTGCAATAAGTTCTTTGTAATAAATCATTTTTGTATTTATTTGTTATTATTACTATGGAATTCTTCAGTGAAATGAAAATGAAAATCGTTCTTCTCACGCATGCGGATTGAGATTAATTCTTAGTCTAGGGTGATCAGTCTCGCCAGATATTCCACTTGTAATTTCACGTTAATCCATTTATAGTAAATAAATGTTGTTGAAAAATATTTATTTTTTACTCCAAAAATTTAATAACTGACCAAATTTATCATTTTTAACTTCCCGCTAAAAATCTCAGATTTTCAAAAATCGGGAAGTTATTGTTTTCACCCCGTTTTACAAAAATCGAGTTTTCATCAGATCTCGACGTTTGAAGGTCACAGGAAGCTTCCCTGACTATTTTTACGATGATGTCCGTACGTCTGTATGTATGTGTGTGTGTGTGTGTGTGTCTTTTTTTTTTCTAAAGAGGTACGAAAAAAGATCTTCAAAAGACACCGCTATCGTTAACTCTGCCGCCCATCTTACGGCAGATATCGATAGTCGGTAGTGTGGAGATTTTTTCCCACTAAAAAAAAACATTCCTCTTCCCCTCTCCCCTAGATGGTACGGGGAGGACTGGATTGGAACCGCGTTAGCATTACTTCAATCCACCCGTGCTGCGTCTCACGACGCCTACTCCTGGCTACTGGTCTCTTTCTGCGATTTTGTCTTTCAGGAGCTGCTGTGCATAAGCTGCAACAGCTGACCAGTTTTCCTCTTGTTTGATCATATAGGTCACCAGGCTTGAGGGCGAGAGCCTGGTGCCTATGATCGCTTCGGTGCTTGTTCTGTAGTCCTTTCATCGCGCACACTCAAAGAATGTGTGTTCGGCGTCGTCGATTATATCCGGGCAGTATTTGCATGTTGGTATGTTGTGTAAACCCATCTTGAAGAGATAGGCGTTGTACTACCCGTGTCCTGTCAGTAGTTGGGTCAGGAAAAAACCTGTGTCCCCGTGCTTCC